TAAAGACCTGTTTGTAATTGTATCATCATCATCGTCATTATGATTATTTTAAACGATGAATACTTATTCCTTCATTCAACCATGTAACACTTTTCTTCCTCTGTATTTTATCTTTTATATTTTTTTTTGCTCTTTATAACTCGTTCATTTCTGTTGTAAGTGGGTGTATTGATCTTCTTATATTTGTGTCTTGTAATGAATATTCATGCATTATGTTGGTGTAATTAGCTGACTTTCCTCTAAGTATAACAACAAATATATTCTTTCATCTGATCGTATTGCACATAAAAACTAACAGTGATGTATTAATAAGCATTTCGACATAAAAGTTTTTAATAAAGCATATTATTATTATAATCATGATTTTTAAATTTTCAAATATTTTTATTTTGTAAATAAAACTTAACTTTTTCCGAATATCTATCTTATTCTATTAGAATGATGAAAAAGATTATTTTCTGATTCAACATATAAAAGCGCATTTAAAATGACGAGATTGAAAATTATTCAAAAATAATCTAGCAACAACTGAATCAAATCTAGTACTGTCTTTATCAGAGAAAATTGACTAAGAAAGTTTATAAAAATTTCAAGTAAGTGACTCTTAATTTAATATGCACATTTTTATTATACGTATTTTGAGATCAGAAAGAAAAAAAAGTCATCTACTTTTGAAAATATACACATTATTATTTTTCAAGAAAATGCATTTTCGTATGCTGATTCTCATTGTAACACTTATTCTTGTACACAAAAACTAATTATACACAATAAAATATTGAGAACATTGCTCTATATCTAGTCGACACAACAAAAACAACAATACATTTTCTCCAACAGTCCTATACAATGGATGTTAAAAGTTTCACACCACATTTTTGTTTTGGTTGCCATTTCAAAAATACATGACATAGATTTTTATTTCTTTTTACCTTCGGATAGCGGAAGTCGAGTACTATATGTATGCATATATTTGAAATGAATAACTCTGGAATCGAAAACAAACTTCAGTACTACAACAAAAACTACCCAAAAAAAAGACAAAACGGTATGATTGTTATGCATTTGAGTAAGATGCTAGTAATGTGAAAATCAAATAATTTTTTTTGGCATACATTTAATGGAATATCTAAAAATATAGCAATCTATATCTAAATTATAGCAATCTATATCTAAATTATAGCAATCAATATCTAATTTAATACAGTAGTATCTATTCCGGTGAAAGGATACTAAAAGAAAATGTTTTATCTAATTTTTTAATTAAACATCTTTTAAATCAATTAAATTGCTGAAATAAAAAATGTTCTATCTTTTAATTTAATATATTATCACTTTTAACAAATGACTATCAATCAATTTATCGAATTATCTAATTGATTTGAACGTAATCTATAATTGATTAGTACTTATCAATTAATTGAAAGAGTATATATGAGCTAGGAATGACGATAAGTGATAAGAAAAAAGTTAGTTTAAAAAATATAAAAAAATATACTATTAGAAAAATGGCAGCAGCATTATCAGATAATGATAAAACAGATTCAATAGACTCTGTTGAAGCTAAAAAAGCATTAATTGTGCAATCGTTTTCTTTTTTTTGCTGTGCTATTTTTGTAAATAATTGATAATTGTATCTTTATTTTTTTCTATTACTTTAATTATTAATTAGATATAACTTTGTGTTGTTAGGTAATGTTATTTAATAAATTAGATATAAATAAATTTTAAAATTAGATATATTATTTTCTTAATTAGATATAAAAGCATTCTATATTAGATATAGATTTATTTTAAAATTAGATACAGATTGCTATATTTTTAGATATTAGTTAATATTTACCCCATTTTTTTTTATTTCATATTTTTACATGAATCGATAGAACTCGATGAGTTCTGCATAACTGTCAGTATTTACATTTTTTAGAACCATTTTCTAGAACTAAAATTTGTAATGAAATTGTGATTTTTACTCTTTTATACTATAAAAAAGATTCCTGACATTTCACATAGAACAATCGAAGTATGTAATTATATTATAATCTTTTTTTTCTAGAAGAGAATTCTAAAAATTGTAATATAGACAGTTTTGTAGAGTTCATCAAGATCTATCGATTCATGTAGAAATATCAAACAAAAATATTATTTGATTTTCACATTACTAACACCTTACTCAAACTCAGAATAATCATACCATTTTGTTTTTTTTTGAGTAGTTTTTGTTGTAGTACAAAAGTTTTTGTTTCGATTCAAGAACTATTCATTTCAAAACTATGTATACATATAGTACTTGAGATCTGCTATCCGAAGGTAAAAAGACATTAAAATCTATGTTGTGTATTTTTGAAATACCAACGAAAACAAAAAAGTGTTTCGAGATTTTTGCCATCCACTATAGTATTTTACAAAGAACTTGCAACTTTTCTTTTACTGACTTCAAAATGGATAATAAAAAGAATTTTGAAATCCTTTCCTTATTTCCAATACATTCTTCACTATGTTATATTTGAATAGTCTGAAATTCATGTACTGTGATGTACTTTTATGTATTGAACAAAAAATAGAAAATAATCTTGTCAAAGTTCTAATAGAATAAGAAAGATATTTTGAATAGGCTATTCTATATTAAGAAATGTAGCAATGATCTTTATAAACAAATTGCATCGCAGATATAAACGATGTTTAATAAGGTCAAATCTTCTTCAAGTGATATTCTTTTCTCTTCAGTAGAATATATTGATATTCATAGTAATATTCTAAACATTCGAGATCTACTCTACACTAAAATTTCAGTTTCTTTCTTCTCATAGGTGTAACCTAAGTTTAATAAATTTTTGAAATTATTTATACAAACACCTTCATAGTTATGAAATCTATCTTTCATAATTAGTAATATTTAGTTTTTTCTTGCTTATCACTTTTGTGTTCTGTCATTTATCCATGTGATTATTGAGAGAAAAAAATGCACATTGGCTTTTTATCTAATACTTATGATGCGTAGAAACAACAACAATTATGAATAGATAAATTAGCTTTTAGTTACTAATCAAATCGGTTTATTATTCTTATATTTTGAAATCAAGAAAAAAAAACTCTAATTATATATATATAGAATAATACAAATTTACATTATGTCAAATATTTACAAAAATAATAAAGAATTTGGATAATATGCAAATAATCAAAGATTATGTATGAATTCTAATTTTTCAAAATGATGAAAATCTTGCCATGAAAAAAAATACGAAAATAAAGAAACCAATATATTTATTTTAAGTGCTTTTTTCAAATAACAATAAACATAAAATTTATTTTTTTTTTGCAGGTCACAACCTAATGTGTTTAAACATGAGAGACGTTTTTTTTTTGATTTATAATGTACAATATATTTAAGATGAAAATGTGAAATCTGCGAATTCATTTCTTGATAAATAAAAAAGTACAGATTCCGCTGCATCACAAAGCGTAAATCATAAATAAGAGGCAAAGTTTAGATGATAAAAACTACATTAGAAGAAAACGATGTGAAATTCTGTTGTTACAATGTACTTTTCATCTAGATTAGATAGAAGAGAACACTCAGTCATATAGATGATTGATCATAGTACACATCAGTCTCTGCGTTCAATGTGAATGTAGATCAATAAACGGACGAAAAAGAAAACAATGCTTTGACCACTACGGTTCAGTTATTTAATATTAAGCGACGCACATAGAGCCTCTATCGACTCATACAAATTAATCATCGATATTTTTTGTTTATGCCAACATCATCAGAAAAATTCGTATCATCTTTGGACAATTGAATCTAGCATTCAATCAAAGATACTGTTCGACAGAAACATCTACCCGAAGGAAAAGATATTCCGACATTATTTTCGCACACTTTGTTTTTGTTATCAAAAGAACAAATCTGTAACACTTATCGAAAATGCAGTATATCAGCAAAGATCGATATGTATTATGATCAACAATCTATGTAACTGAGTATTCTCTTCCATTTAATCTAAATGAAAAGTAAATTGTGACAACAAATTTTGACATCTGTTTTCTTCTGATGTAGTTTTTATTACATGAACTTTACTCCCTTTTTATGATTTCTATGTTCTGTGATGCAGCGGACTCTATACTTTCTCATTGTGTATCAATTAATGGAAAATAAACTGGAATGATATTTCTTTTATGTGAGAGAAACAAAGGAAGAAAAATGAATTAGCACACACTGTAATCTAACAAAGAACAATAGATAGTTACGCTTCAATTGTTTCTTATTCAAAAAGCATGATTTTTGTTTTGTTTATGAGCTACTTCATGCATGTGAATATTTTATTGTTAAACAAGTCTTTCTCATTGATGAATAACAAACGCTGATTGTATAATAATTTAGATTTATTTTTTTTATTCCCTTTGGTTTTTGTTATCTATTAACAACAGAACAGAAAACTAAAAACTTGAATATTTTTTATAGAACTCAATTTTCAATTATATCAATTGAAAAGGTTTTGAACGTGTTTCAAATAATAAGAAATAATGAGTGTCAATTGAATACAGTAAAAGTCATTCACAAAAAGTAGATGTAAATCTAGAACAAAAAAAAGAAATTTTACATGTTTGAACATATTTTTTTTTATACAGAACTTTGGCGAATTGATAGAATTATCATATGTGCATGATGATAATATCAAAAACTATAATTTATACTGTGCAAAATGATTGTATCTTGAAATAACAAGAATTTTTATTGTTTACATATTATTTTTTGATAAAGCATATTTTCTTTTGCTATAGATCTCTTGTTTAGTTTTGAGATTAATATAAATCAGTAACTAGTATTTTTTTTTACTTTCATGAGTAAGTATATATGCTGAACTGTTACACATATGATGTAGAAGTTTAATTTTACTTAAGATATGTCTAAAAACGAAATGCATAGGAACATCTTATAACAAGTTATGATTATGTTTAAGTTTATTCTATGATTGTATTAACATCGAATGTAGTCATTTTAAAAGTCGCATGGTTTCTGCAACATCGCCATTATCAGTGCTGACTTCACCTTCTTCTTTCTTTTGTTTTGAAGGTTCTTCTTCTAGTGGTTCTGTTTGTTTTAAAGTTCGTTTCGGATGCAAAATTGACCATGCAAATAATGCGATAACGTTAGGTACAATTTGAAAAATATATACCCAATGTTCTTTTTCATTTGATTTCATATAATATGTTGGAACTGATGTAATCATAATATAAATAGCAACTACCAAACAAGCAAAACTAGAAATACTCATAAGAATAATAGCAAATTTTGTCATATGTTTTATTGTTTTTGTTAGAAACCAAACTGGATAGAAGAGCATAGTCAAACCGAGAACCATTGCTGATGATGCTTGTCGTAATTGAAAACTTATATTAAGTTTACTAGGATCATCTGCTAATGCACCAGCTGGAGCCATAAGAACTGCTGATGTAAGACCAATAAGAACTGATCCTATGATAATAGTTCGTGTCATCCACACTTTCATTTTGTAAACTTGTGTTAGAAAATCATAATTTGATAAAATAACTGTACGTATACTAATAGAAAGTAGAACTGTTAAGACAGTAAAAGCACCTTTCGAATCATTGGTTCTCTTAGAAAAAGCAGCACGTAATATGAGTTGAATGAAAATAGTTATATGAGAAATGAGAATAAGAATTTGAGGTCGACGCGGTTTAAAGTGTATTTGTTTTGATTGAATGATCCATGCTATTAATGAGACACCGACGAGTGCAGCAATTATACCAGCAGCTGGTCTGCTTTCTATATACCGTGGATAAGGACTTGTTGATGAATTAGACATTATGATTACTGAAACAAAAAATAACTATTACTAATTATTATTTTGATGTCATAGATATCATTAATAAAATGAAAAGAATATCACTCGTCTATATATTCTTTTAATATTTTAAATTCGGATTATTAGGTTTTTTTTAATATTTTATTTCTGAAATTTTGATCTATTTTAATCGATAAAATTTCCAACTGCTACACTCTTAAAATAACTTAGAAATATTGAGAAAGCTAATAATTATTCGCTCGTAGAAAATTTTGTTTTTTTTCTTCGTACAATAAAATAATGTCTATGATAATGAATCTATACTTATGTATGCGTCCTAGTTTCGTGTATTCCTACTGCGCTGTCGTTGCGTTAAGGTTTCTTTTTCTTCAATATTTTTTTCTTTTTCTTTCATGTTTTTTTTCCTATCATGACTTGATACTTCATCAAGGTGTATAAACATAATTAAGAAACGTTTGATGTTTTTTTAAGTTCAGCTAAAAAAAATTATAGAAAAATGATGAAATAATGGATTCAATATTATAAACGTTAATTTATTCAGTATATTTAATAAGATAAAACAAGAGAATGTTGTAAGTTAATTATAGTAACTTATTGAATATTATGTTTTGATAAATATGATTCTACGAGGAATAGAAACGCCTACTAAAGTATAAATACTCATTTTTAAGATATAAATGATTAACTTTTTATGAGTCATTTTATATTACAAAGTCCTTCAAGCTAATGTCATTTGACTATTACAATATATTATTAGTATTTCAATTTTTTATTTCGATTAGATAGACAAACAAAGTAAATATTTTAATGATTATCAATCAGACATTGATTTTATTAGCTTTTACTAGTTTGATACAAATAAGTTAACAACATAATAGATAAACTAGTGAAACATTAAGATTTAAATTGAAAATAACTTTCATACTAAATATGTTTATCGAATTTTATATTTAACACACATAAAATAGCGTCCCATTTATTGCTTTTAGAAATCATTCGATAATAAGTGTCACGTATTTCAATTGCGTATTTGAAATAGAGAATCCGAGTTAATATCAGTTTATTGACTTGAAGAGTAGAAGCAGAAAAGGAATGCAAGATAGATAAAAATGAAACTAAACAAGAATAACTCATTCTTCAAAAAAAAGGCATGCACATATATATATATATATGTATCTATAGATATGTATATCTATCCCGTGATGAATCATATGAAGAAGACAAAGAACAAAAGAGAACAGAAATACAGCAATAGGAATATTGTCACTACATGACACTCCTCTCGTTTTAAATTTCTTCGATCAAACCATGTACAGGTTTCTTGATCCGTGATAAACGTCGGATTGTTGTTGATTCTTGTTCAGATGAAGAGGAAGATGCTGAAGTGTCTTCATCCTGATCTATTGTTGAGATTA